ATAACAGTGTTATTTTTCATTAAGTACTAATTATTCTTTTATTAATCAAATATTAACTGAGAGCTACCTATGTGCTAGCCATTGTGGTAAATGCTGAAGAGTAAACAACTAAACAAAAAGACAAAGAGAAGATGCCTCCTCTTTCAAACTTGAGTCTAGTTACAATGATGAAAACTAAAATGCTACTACACATTTTATGCATATATAAGTAGAATATATATTTTTTAATCAAATTGATTTCTCACAACATATACAACTTAAAATCTTCTATTTTCATTTAATATAATACTGTAAACTCTCATACTCTTCCTTTCATCATAAATGCATGGCTAGAAGATAGCTGCTTCACATGCACCACTACATCCACATTCCAGACAGAAAGGGGAAAAGGGCCAAAAAAACACACGCCCAGCCAGGCTCGGTGGCTCAGCCTGTCATCCCGCGCCTTTGGGAGGCTGAGGTGAGTGAATTGCCTGAGCCCGCGGGTTCGAGACCCGCCTGGGCAGCGAGACCTCATCTCTACAATAAATCAAAAAATGAGCCGGGCATGGTAGCGCACGCCTGTAATTCCGGCTACTTGGAAGGCTGAGGCGGAAGGATCGCCGGAGCCCAGCAAGTCGAGGCTGTGGTGGCCGGGAGCTGCCACTGCACTCCAGTCTGGGCGACAGAGTGAGACTCCAACTCAAAAAAACCCCCAAAAAACAAAAACAAAAACACATGCCCACTATGCATGTCCTCTCTCAACCCCACCTTTAAAGAACTGTTGGAGAAGCCCAGTTTTGCTTACAACTACAAGGGAAGTTAGAACATGTAGAGTTTTATTTATTTTTTCTGTTTTTCTTTATTTAAGCCTAGTACAGTGCTCCTTCAAATAAGAGCAGGATTTTTATAGCAATAGAAAATGGATATTGGGTTAGTGATACATGTGGTAAAACAACAGTATCTAATATTTAAAATATTTTCAAAGAAATCTCAATTATGTGGGAAGTTAAAAACATCACAAATGAAAACATAAAAAATACAGATATATGTGCATGTACTTCTATCTCTATGCATATATGTGTATCTATATATGCATACATGTAAAACAAAATAGCATAAAAGATGAACTGAACCATTTGCCACATTAATAAGAGCAAATTAGAGCCTGGGATCCCAGCACTTGGGGAGGTCAAGGTGGGAGGACTGCTTGAGCCCCGGAATTAGAGACCAGCCTGAGCAACATAGTGAGAACCTGTCTCTACAAAAGATCAAAAAATTAGCTGGGTGTGGTGGCTGCGTACCTGTAATCCCAGCTACTGAGGCTGAAGCAGAAGAATCCCGGAGCCTAGGAGGTTGAGGCTGACATGAGCCGTGATCGTGCCACTACGCTCCATCTTGGGTGACTGAGTGAGATTCTGACTCTAAAATTAAAATAAAAAGTAAAAATAAAAGTCACAACTATTATTTCCTGGAGACAACACATCTCCTCTGGAGTACAAATGACAAGAATAGAGGTTTACTCTGCCTGTCCCTCCCCTGCCATGGGAGGGCTTTCAGAGGAGACTAGGTCTTGCATCTCAATCTCTATCATAGAAAAGTGCCCTTTCACTGTCAAAGGGCCAATTTGTTTGTGCTCTCACACATATGTGAGACACACACACACACACACAGTACTGCACAGTCATACCCCCACTATTGGACACAAAGTCACACTCTCAATCACAAGCACCCTTCCTCCTTCCCCACACAGAGCTGTACACAGTCAAAATCCGCACGGGGACACAGTCAAAGCCACACAGTCACAGCCACACAGTCACAAGGCTCCCTATGCCCTAACACAGAGGAACGCATGGTCACACAATCACAATCACACACCTACCACAGGGACACAGTTACCCCCACAGTCACAGCTAACCCACACCCTGACACACAACGTTACATACGGTCACACAATCACAATCATGCCACAGGGACTCACAGGACACCCGCATAATTCTCCCCCCATCCGTACACTGGGTATCACACACAGTCACAAGGCTAAGACACACAGTCACAAAATCTCGCACAATTTCACAACTTCAACCCGGTCCGCCTGCACAGGCTTAATACTCAGTCTCAATCCCTGCCCCGGGTTCTAAATTCTTCATCTCCAACCTCCCAGGAGTTGAGTCAGTCTGCAGTCGCCGAAACGAACAGCTCAGAGACGAGCGCCGGGTCTGGCACAGCTTCCCGGAGCCGCCCGCCTTTCGGGTGGGGTGGGGGGGGAGAGGAAGGCCGCGGCGCCTTCTGGGAAATGTAGTCCAGCGCTACACCCGCGACGCAAAGATGGCGCCCGGCTCGAGCCCGGCCCAGTGGGCTGGGTCGCCATCGCCGAACCGCGCCTGGGAGTTTCGTGGAGGTTCCGGCCTAGGATCGCACCGTAGCGCCTACATGAGTCAGGCCCAACGTGTTTGAGCTGAGCTTAGTGTACTGTCTGGCACATCACTGCCCTTTCCCAAAGGTAAACACAAGAGTGTTAAATGAGTCCTGAGTCCGAAGACTCAGCTACATACACCCTTCCCCCACCAGGGAGGCAGTGGGGGACTCGAACTGTTGAACGTTTGGGGAAATGCAGTCCGCGATCAGAAGAGAGGCGCGGAGGACCCAGGCCGACTGAATCCGGCCACTTCTAAGCCCGGGTCGGGCAGAGCCCAGGAGGCCCCTGGGAGCGCGCGCCCGTAGGAGTGCGCAGGCGCAGACTCTCCGGCTCGCCATCACCGTCTTTGTCTGCTGGTGAGTTTGGTTTTGGCACTAGGGAACGTGGGTTTCTGGGCATCAAACTGGGCCAGGGAGGCTGTACGGGAGGATTCGGGGTGCCTGCGACCGGGTTGGGGAGGCTGGAGGGAAGGAATCGCCTCTTGTGACGTGCAGCGTTCTCAGAACCTTTGTGGATGGGGGCAGGGGGACAGTTGGAAGCGGGTTTGCGTGTGGGTGGCCGAGGGTATGGGCGAATGGGGGGTGTCTGGAGTTGTGGAGTAAGTGAGAAACTGGCTCCAAGTTTGTGAGGAGGGATGGGTGGCTTTGTGAGATGGTAACCTCTAAACCTCACTTGTCTCATTTCTAAAATAATGACTGTAAGGATGCGTTTATTCTGGAAAATAAGAAAGGGGAAAGGCTGAGGAATTGAGCGGATAAGTAATTTTAAAAGTAATTTTTATATAAAAGCAGATCTGTTGTGGAGTAGAAAACAGATCAGCGTTACTTTTTTTTTCTAAAGAAGAAAAATTTGCGAAAAACTTGTCATCCGGTGCCTGTACTTACTGTAGGTATTGACTTCTCTTAATATTTTGGAGAAACTTTGGCGGAGCTGCTTTGAGACACCTTGAACCAAGGAATAGCTTAAGAGGTAGTGTCCACTAGTGCAGACAGCACAGAATTGGGAAGCTAGTTGTCCTTTTGGCGCAGAGAGGCCGAGAAGCTCCCTAGTTCGTCAGTGAGTGCAGGATTCAGACTCCAAACTTGACCAGACTCCCCCAGCCCTAATGGCCTTTTTTAATGTAGTGAAAACATTTACTTCTATCTACAAAGACGCTTTCTTCACGTATTTTGTTATACTTAATGTATTTTTCAGTAAAATGAAAGAGTAAAATTCCAGGCTTAATAGTTTTGATACATACAGAAAATAATAATCAATGAAAGTTATAAAGAACACAAGACTTAGGCTTGTCGCTTAACTATTGATTTTCTAAGTTTCTGGACTTTATAATCTTTTCACCTGTAAGTACTCCTATCAGCAACAACATTCTACTGCTATGACCTTATTTAACATGGATGACTAATATATGTTTCTGCTGGAGACTTGTCCTGAGTTTCTCATCTGTTTATGCAGTTGCTTAATGTGGGGGTACAGGAACTTAAAGCTCTTTATGTCCAGGTTTTCCTACTGATAACTTCTTCCTGCTGTCTGCTTCCATCTGTTTCCCCTTTCTGTACAGCAATTCATAGCACTGTCTAGCCATGTTTTAGGGCTCTTACATCTTAGTAAGAGAAGACCTTCTAGGTAAATTTCACTCTTTCACCTATCATACCCTATTACAAATTGGGAACCAAGGTTTCTTCGTTACCTGCAATGAATGATAAATATGTTTGCTGAGTCAGTGAATGATCATATAGTCAACCCTCTGTATCAGTGGATTCTGCATCCATGTATTCAACAGACCAAGGATCAAAAGTGTTGTTAGGCCTGTGATGATTGCATCTGTATTGAACATGTAGAGACTTTTTTGTTCTTGTCATGATTTCCCTAAACAATACAATATAACAACTATGTTTAAAGCGTTTACATTGTAGTAAGTATTTTGAGTAAGATAGAGATGATTTAAAATATTTGGGAGGATGTGCATAGGTTACATGCAAAACACTATGCCATTTTGTATAACAGACTTGAGCATCTGCAGATTTTGGTATTCATAGGGGTCCCGGAACCAATCCCCTGTGATACCAAGGGAAGGCTATAATTATAGAAAGCTTTTGACATTTAACTTCTAGAGTAACATAAACTAGGTAAAATATTCTCTAAAAATGTTTAAGAGCTCTGACCTATAAATACTATCAGAATAATTTCCTATATATTTTGTCTATATCACTCAAGGTTGATTACTTGAGAAAAGTGTTGTTATGGAGACTTAAATGATATTAAAAAATGTGACTTCAATCAGAAGCAACATCACAAGTGACACCTGCTTAAAGGAACCTATACAGGTTGTGATGTGATTCCGGAGATCTCTGGCAACTCAGTCTCATAGTTTCTCTGTGTAACCTAAATTCTGCAAATAAGATACCTTCAGTTTCCCATTTCTGAAATGTGGGGAGCTTTTGAATGGCATAGTGAGTTTGGCCTGAGATGCTAAGGACCAATACTCTTTTTCCATTTGCTAATATGTAGATATAAGCCAAAAAGTCATCATTACTGTGTTCTTTTTTCACAGGCCAGCTTCCCTGTGCATCCCCAGGAGCTGCACTTACATTACCCTTTAAAACCTCTTAGAGTTCTGAATTCTGGGATGCTACTTTACCCCCAATAATAACGTCCAAGTCCAGTGTCACTTTTCCATTTACAAGTTTAAAGTCATCAGTTCAAACAAGAAGAGCAGTGGATGATTGAGGAAGAAATGTAAAGAAGGTTCTCTCCAGGTGAGTTAGCAAGAACTTGATAGGTATGAATGGGATCAAGGCCTTATTACAGTGAGAATTTGCTTGTTCAGTGAGAGTTTGTAGCCTCTGATTTATTTTGATTTTGATTTTTTTGAGGGGATTTTCTACTAGCGCTTGTCTTTTAAAGTGACAGTTGCTTGGAATTCTTTAAATTCCTAAATGACATTTCTAGATATTCTTCCTGAATCTGTGCTTTTCTCTGAATCTGAATCTAGAGGATTGATTGCTCCTCTAATCTCTGTTCTGGATGCCAGTCACTCTACCTCATTTGTGGCCGCAATTTTATGATTTTTACAGCCTCACTTTCACTAACATTCTCTGTTTTTCACTTGTCCTTGCCTGCCTAGACTTATATCTTAAGCAGTCCTTCATAGATCTGCTGTCTTTCAAAAACTAACGTGTAAATTCCTTAAAATGTAATCTTTCTTTGTATAACTATTATGTATCTTTCAAATAAAAAAGTAATCTTTCAAAAGCTAGCATGTAGATTCTTTTCTTTAAAATTTAACTTTCTGTAACTTCTCCCTCAGAGTTTAATTTTATATTGTATTATTATTATATATTATATATTAGATAATATAATATGTAATATTACACTTTCTATATATATTATACCTCAGAGTTGAATTTTACCCCCTTAGTCTTATTTCCTATTCTTACCTCCAGCCATCGCAGTTCAGCATTATCTCACTTCTTGCTTTTTAGCAATATTACAGCTTGGGATTTAGTACAGACTTCCTACCAGTTCACTTCTTTGTTACTTTTCTTTCTTTCTTTCTTTTTTTTTAGTCAAGTTCTTATTCTGTCACCCAGGCTGGAGTGCAGTGGCATCATCATGGCTCATAAGAAAATATGAAGAGATGTAAATGTGAAGAAGATGTAACTTTTTTGGTGTTTTTTCTGGCTTGTTAGGTATATAGTAACTTAAATCCTGATATGCTTCATACTTTCCTAAACTTGATGAATTTGTAAAGTAACTGGGAAAATTTTAAATAACCTTCTGGGCTCAGGCAATCCTTCCACTTCAACCTCCGTAGTAGCTGGGACTACAGTACATACCACCATGCCTGGCTATTTAAAAAATTGTTTTGTAGAGACAAGCCTAGTTTGAACTCCAGGGCTCAAGCAATCTTCCCACCTTGGCTTTCCAAAGAGCTGGGATTACAGGCATGAGCCACCATGCCTGGCCTTTTTTGTTACTTTAAAAAAGAATACTATTCTTTTTATTTTATTTTTGACTTGGAGTCTCACTCCGTCACCCAGACTGGAGAGCAGTGGTGGGCTCACGGCCACCCCAGCATCAACCTGCTGGGCTCTGGCGATCCTTCCACCTCAGCCTTCCAGGGAGCTGGAACTGCAGGCGAGCGCTACCATGCCTGACTAAATTTTTGATTTATTGTAGAGATGCCCAGGCTGTTCTCAAACCCATAGGCTCAGACAATCCCCTCACCTTGGCTTCCCAAAGTGCGGGGATTACAGGCTTGAGCCATCGTGCTCGGCCTATGTAATGTATATACTTGATAGAGAATTAAAACAATAGGGTATTTTCCTCTTTCCTAAATCTCAGTTCCCTATTTCTGTTGCCCATAAACAGCCACTATTAACAGTATCTTTTGAAAAATACAAAAACAAGCCGGGCTCTGTGGCTCAGCCTGTAATCCCGCGCTTTGGGAGGCCAAGGTGAGTGGATTGCCTGAGCCTGCGGGTTCAAGACCTGCCCAGGCAACTTGGCAAGACTCATCTCTACAATAAATCAAAAAATTAGCCGGGCATGGTAGCACGTGCCTGTAGTTCCAGCTACTTGGAAGGTTGAGGCGGAAGGATCACCAGAGCCCAGCAGGTTGAGGCTGCGGTAGCCGGGAGCATGCCACTGCACTCCAGTCTGGGTGACAGAGTGAGACTCCAACTCCAAAAAAAAGAAAAGAAAAATACAAAAACAAAAACCAGAGTCTTCTCTGTATGCTTCTGAATCTTTTGTGAGTTATACAAGAAAGCTTTCAGGTAGAGCATTGACATGATTTGTCTATGACAAGATTATTGTGACTGCTGTACTGAGAATTGTAAAGTAAAAGCAAAAGTAACAAGACCAATGAGGAGTCTTTTAAATAATCCAGGCAAAATATGATGTGCTTTAGACCTTGGTGGTCCCAATGAGGTTGTGGGAAATAGATTCTAGGCATGTTTTGAAAATACAGCCAGCAGGATATGAAGATGCAATGGGTGTGTGATCTGAGAGAAAGAGAAGTGTTGCTTGAGCATCTGGAGAATGAGGTTGCTGTTTAAAGAGATGAGAAGAATTTAGAAGGAGTTGGTTTGGGAGCTAGAGCAAGAGTTTGGCTTGCGGCAGGGTAAGTTAGATACCTATTGGATATCCATGTGGAAGTGTTGAGTAGTTATTTGGGTATATGAATCGTTATTGGGGAGAGTGGTCCAGGCTGGTGATTAACATTTGTTAGGCATCTCAGCGATGTGATATATAAAGCAATGAGACAGGACTATGAAGTATACTAATCATGGTAAAGCTAAGTGGCTATAATAAACCTCAAAATATACAGGTTTGAGGAATATAGAATTAATTTCTTTGTCATATAAAAAAGCCATGTAGCAAGTAGTCCAGATTTGGTCTTTGTGGTCCCTAAAGAATACAGATTCCTTCCAGGTTGTCCATTATTGTCTGATTGTTGTTAGAGTTGGATCAATAATGTATCCTGGTTCCAGCCAGATGGAAGAAGAAAGAATTGTTATCTCCAGGAGAGGGGATCAGCAAACTTCTTCTGTAAAGGTCCAGATAGTAAATATTTTAGTCTTTGTAGGCCATAAGATCTTTATTGCAGCTTTTCAAATCAGGCATCATAGTGCAAAAATAGTCATAGGCAGTGGCATGTGGTTTGCCAACCCTTGTTCTAACAGACCACTATTTACACAGAATACAATTGAGTTTGCTAGTGATTAAAGCATTTTGATTTATATTTTGCACATATTTTTAAAACCATATGAAAAATGTTGTTGAAAGAACCATTTTACCTCATATTCAGATAATGCTGCTTAGTTCAGTCCAGCAGTCATTTACAGTTTGAACATTTTAATTCTGGTATGTGTGAAGGATGTTGATATACCTATAAAATATGAGGAGATGTAAATATAAAGAAGATGTAAGTTTTTTGTTTTCTTTTGGTTTGTTAGATATATAGTACTTAATTCCTGATGGGCATTATACTTTCCTAAACTTGATGAATTTTAAAAGTAACTGGAAAATTTAAAATAAACAGTAATACTATTATCTATTAAAAATTTAGTAAATTTCACATGTTAAGCCATCAGTGCCTTGGGCTTAAAGGTAGTAAAATACCTTAAAAATTGTCTCTATTTTTTTTTTTTTCCTATTTAGGTTCCTGTCTTTTCTGGATTTTCTAGGTTGTGGTTGCTAGGTTTTCATATTTATTTGCATGAGATGGAGCAAAATAGTCTCTGCAATCCTTATTTTCTATCTATGGTTATTTCCAAATAATCTTTTTTTCCCTTTATTTCTTTTTAATTTTTTCCTAAGAATGAATACATTAATTTATTTTTCTTATTTTTACTAGTTTTCCGTTCTGCTTGTGTTTACTTTTTATTTTAATTACTTTTATTACTATTCTTTTTTAAATAATGTAACCATTTATGATAAAACTTCTTTCTCCAAGAATTTTTTCAAGTATGTTCCAAAGGTTCTAACATACTTAATATTGATGATATTTCTGAATATTCTATATTTTATTTTAACTTTCTCTTTGGCCAAAGGGTTTGTTTAAACCAGTAGATTTTGAAATTTACAGGTGAAAGGTTTTAATTTTTGTTATGTAATTTCTGTTATTTGTTTTGTTTTGGTCAGAGTATTTTATGTGTCCTTTTCTACTTTGTGGAATTTTTTTTAAAGCCCTTTAAAGTTTTTTTTAATGAATTTTGCCAATTATATATAATCATACAACTCATTCCAAAATCAAGCTACAGAGCTGTTTTCTAAAATGGCTCTACCATTTTTTATTACCACCAGCAATGTGTGAGAGAGTTATGGTTGCTTCACACTCTCACTTATGGGTTGGCAGTCCTTGTTCAGTCACTGTCATGGGTTTATAATATATCTTTTTTTTCTTTTGAGACAGGCTCTCTCTGTGTTGCCCAGGCTGGAGTGCTGGAGTGCCAAAATCATGGCTCGCTGTAACCTTGACCTCCTCGGCTCAAGCTGACCTCCTGGGCTCAAGTGATCCTCCTTGAGTAGTGATCCTCCGCCTCCCGAGTAGCTGGGACTACAGGCATTTGCCTCCATACCTTGCTGATTTTTAAATTTTTGTAGAAACAGAGTCTTGCTATGTTGCCCAGGCTAGTCTTGAACTCCTGGTCTCAAGCAGTACTTCTACCTCAGCCTCCCAAAGTGCTTGGATTACAGGTGTGAGCCACCATGCCTATGCTGTAGTGTATCTCATTGGAGTTTTAATATATATTTTCCTGATTACGAATTAAATTAAACAACTTTTAATGTGCTCATGGATCATTCATATACAGGTTGAGCATCCTTAATGCAAAGACTTGAAATCTGAAATGCTCCAAATCTCAAATTTTGTGTTTGCTACCATGACACAAGTGGAAAATTCTACACCTGATCTCATATGATGGGTCGCATATGTTATATACAAAAATACCTTCAGGCTATGTGTATAAAGTTTATGAAACATAAATAAGTTTCATATTTAGATTTGGGTTCTATCCCCTAGATATGTATATGCAGATATTCCCAAATTTGAAAATGCCCAAGATGTTTCTGGTCCCAAGCATTTCATATAAGGAATACTAATCATTTTTCTCTTTTTTTTTGGAGCTGGAGTCTCACTCTGCTATGCAGTGGCACACTCATGACCACCGCAGCCTCTACTTTCTGGGCTCAGGTGTTCCTTCCACCTGAGTTCCATCCTTCCTGTAGTTGGAACTACAGGTGCATGCCA